TAGTGGGTCATATAAGACTGAGACACACGTGGGCTTAAATTATGTTATTTAAATGAACCCAATTTAATCTCAACTGAAAGAAGTACAGGCTGAACCCTGTAACACCAAGTATGTCTTTTCAGAGCTTTTCAGACTTCTACATCATCAGTGTGATATTTTATTTTTCCCCAACCAAAATAAATTGATCAAATTATTTTAAGTAATAAACTGACAAACAAAAAGTGCCAGATGAACAAAAATATAATATAAATTAAAACTCATATATGCAAATAGATATTGAATTTGTCAGAAGGTTCAATAAAAACTTAATTTTCAAAATAAATTTGCATTTTTTGGCAATTATTTAATTGCTCAGGCTTTACAGGGTTGCTGGATATAAAGCTGCAGGTTAAAGGCTAAAATATTTATTTTGAGGGGGGAGGGGGGGATATATACCCACACTCTGATCAGATGCCACGACTCCTTGTGCCTTCTGAACTTTCTACAAAACGTGGATGGGTTGTGTATTAGAGCCAGAAGATTTAATATCACCAAATCAGCACATTGTTATTCATTAGTGGACCAACTGCAGAGTCAATACACATTTAATCACAGACTGAAGGCAATTAGAACAGGAGGAGAGCCACTGGTGCTATGTTAATTAAAGTGCCAGGCTCCCATGGGAAGCACGGTGTCTAAATATCACTACAATCAAGCCCGTGCAAGAGCTTGCTGTTCACACGCGGCCGCCATGCTGTCAGATCCCTGTCAGTGTGGACAAGAGGGCAAACCTGGCCTCGTGATTAAAAAGTTGCGTATCAGTAATGGTCTTTTTAATCCTAAGTGCCCTCAGCGTCTCACAGGGGACAGACCTCTGGTATCGTCCTTTCCGTGACAGTTAAATGAATTCATCAACTATTTTAATCTCGCGTTGATTTGTGAATGATGTTCAAACCTGCAGCACTGCAGTTGTTGCTGGGAGACCTCTTGAGAAAACACATCTCTGAATCTGAGTGGTCCATTTCCTTTTTCCATCAATCACTCAGTCAGTCAGAGTGAGGTTCAGATCTGCTGCAGTCTTATCTGTATTCCAGGCTGATGGGGAAATTCAAGTTTGGGATTACCTCTGACTGCTGACCCGAACCCATCACAAGCAACCGGCCAGCCGAGCGCTTTCATTATCTTCACGCTCCAAGGCTCCGTACAACAAAATCTTTCTCTCGAGCAAGAAATCGTTACCAGCATATCTAAAACACTGACTGTGCACGCTTTGTTTTGCATACATGAGAAATTAAAAGCTGGCGTTGGGGGGCCGGGGGGTTATTTGTTAGAGAGTCGATATCTTCAGCCTTCTTGCAGGCAGTTGTCTGCTTCCTGTATGGACTAAGGGCCCATCCATATGCAGATGGCTAATTTGTAGTGTTTACAGAGGAGCATAGAGGGGGCTGACAACTCATGAAGAGGTCTGAAAGAGCTGCCTTCGTGTCACCCCAGGAGCCTGGTGTTAAAGCCAGCTCTACCAGAGCAACAGCATAAGTGTCCAATCTGTGTTTGCTTACCCGTGGACACCGATGGCTGAGCCCTGGCCTGGGGCCAATAAATTTTGCCTTTTTTACAGGCTCTGACAGCTAACAGGCCATTGGGAACAGGGCCCCAATGACACAGCCACTCAACAGATTAGCACCTCATCAGCCTCCTGCAGCTTCGAACAAATATGGTGCCTGCCTCCTTAAGGACATAATAAGGCGGCCACATCTGAACAACCCCCCAACAAGAAAGCCCCTTCCCCTCTCCAGCCACAAAACTTCCCGGTCTGGCCACAGCTGCTTCGAGGAGGCCCTGCCCAGCCCCTGAGCCCACCCCTACCCCAATTGCTATGATGTGAGTATTTCAGGTGAGCAAATATTGCCACTTGCCTGAGAGTTCAATGACCGTTCCTTTCAGGGGGGTTGCGTATTGCGCCTGCCTGCTTTGCAACAGGGGCAGCCTACATTTTGCCTCACACAACAACCAGATCTTAGGATGGGTCAGGGGAATTCTCCAGGCACAGCTGGAGTCAGCAAATCAAACATACCTACATAGCTCATCTGCATTTTCCCAGACGAGGAAACCATTCCCGGCTTTCATTTCCTCTCCACAGCTTTTACAACAAAAGGATGACTGGATGTCCTTACAAGCCACCACACACACGGCTTTCACCTCCTTTTTTTTCTCCAATATACAGTCTAAAGTGATGCCAAAGCATTTAATTAACGTATTATACAACCTTTCGGTAAATTTCAATTATTAGTCAAACGGTAAACATGCAGTTGATCTTGTGAAGCACTCCCCACCCGTGTCTCCAATACACACCGGCCTCAAGGTAAAAAGCTCTCTGCGGAGGCATTCATTTACCACCTGGGTCTTAATGTGAAAAGAAGAGGGAAGAGTGCTTTTTGGGAGTGATGCCCTTTACAGAGGACACGGGAAGAAAACCGGAGCAGCGTGGCTAACGTGTGGGTTACAGCCTCTTCCAGGCAGAGTGCACTTGACTGATAATACGACAAAGAACATAATGCAGAAACAGGAAAAGATTTCACTTTAATCAGTTTAATATTAAACACCTATCTTGATCATTTCTTTGGCATTTGTGTTTTAGATTATTTATCACAGTCAACATTTACTTAAAGTTCATTATTTGCTGGCCATGGCTGAAAAACAGCTGTGTGAGGACGAAATGCCACACCAACAAGTCCCTCAGATAAAGGCCAAGACCACAGCTAACGAGTACAGGACCAGCCTAGGTAAAGGCTACAGGCCTGTGGCTGCAGCCAGCTGTGTATTGGATCAGAAGATGATGTGTCAGTGCAGAGTGAAGACCACCTTGATCCCCGTTGGAAGTCAAACACAAGTGTGGGTAGTAGTGTTCTGGGAGGCCTTTTCTGCCATCACAGTGAAATAGAACTGGCCCAAAGAGCAAACAAGAGCCATCCTCATCTCTCCCCCCAAGCCCAGCCCGACCTCATCCAGGTGATGGGTTTTTCTGTTGTTCTGTTTGTTTGCTTGTTTGGTCTGAAGCTCATGGATACCCAGCATGGAGCGGAGAGGAGAAGCGGAGGAACGGATGACACGGAGCAGAAGCGAGAAGAAGCGGCCGTGGATGGGGGTTGCGAGGGTGCGTGACACGCGGACCTCCCCTCGAGGTGACGAGAGACCTGCCGAGAAGCTACCAGGCAAAGCTGCTCAACAAATACACACAGACGCTAGGATCAAGGCAACAAAGACAGATCGCTGTCTCTGATCCTTCAGCAGATGTTATTTCTGTGAGGGATCTTGTAGCTCGGTCTTCATGTGTAAATTTTATATCAGCCTTTCAGATGTGTGTCATAGTCTCCAAAAGAAGCTTCTATTCAGCTGTGATATGTGACTGATAACACTGTAGTTTTCAGTATATGCAAAGGCAAATTCTTAATGTTATAGACTGTAATACATTGATTATATATTTCTCTCATTTGTAAAGAAATAATAATCTGCTGGTTCCAGGATCATCTGTTTTCAGTAATAGCCACAACCAGCCTTCCTTTCAAATTTGAGTGGATAAACCAACAGAGAGTGACACCTCCTGGCAGCAAAGAGAACAGTTTTCTCTTTGGATACAGACAAAGTAAAAATACTGACACTGCTTAAGACTATCTAACAGTCTTGTTCTTCCATTCTGATAACGTCTCATAACACCGCCCTGTATGATTAGCACTCTATACTCAGTAACGTCATCCACGTAACTTCTGTGTCCTGGAGAAAACCCATCAGAACTGTGCAACTGATGCTAAAATCATCTTACAGTTTCACAATAAATATGACAGCAAGTGTTTAAAGACACTTTATAGGCACGTCGCTCTTGAGTAAATGATTTGTTTCTGGTTTGATTTTTCCAACAAAAATTCAAAAGCACAGTGTAAAACTTTCAAAAAAATCCAGCTTCTGTAAAAAGTTTAATGTACTTTCCTTATTACACCTCTGTAAGCTACACACAGGGCCATGAATGGCTTCTACAAAATAATGAAGTTGAGCTCAGAAAAAGGAGTAACACGGTTAAATGTTAGGGTTGAAAAAGTAAAATGTGTTTAGATAAGAGCAAAGGTTTGCTGGTGCCGCATGGGGCCACGACAGGTTAAAGGAACGCATGAATGACTGAAACCTTTACACCTCTGGGCAACCAGACGAGGGAGACATTGCCTGTTTTTTGCCTGATTCTTCTTACGCTGTATCCTCTAATTTAACGAAGACGAGCTACACTTTATTATGAGGTACGGTATGCGTTTTGAAAGAGAATAGATTTAAACGGTCCTGTTGTATTCGGGCCTGTTCAGCGTATCAGAGCCTCCGTGTCCCCCCCTCAGAGGTTAACGGGGTCATAAGGACTGCAAAGGAAGTGCACATCTTGAAAGCATTCATGCTAATAGATAGAGGTGAGCAGTATCATGTATCCTTAGAGAGAGAGGAAAAAAGAGCTGCAGCAGGGATAGTTGTGATTACTTCACAGTCTATATCCAGTGAAGGAAACTTCAAACACTTTTCTAAATTATTGACAGCTGTCTGTTCCCTGTAGCAGTTTATTGTGGGCCTACCTTACAATAGGCCCATCCATTACACTGGAGCTGATACTCGAAGGGATCTGTGATAGCTTTCATCCCGAGTGTTTTCAGAGTTTTCCACAACCCCCTTCCTCACTACCGCCCTCTTTAACTATGTCATTACTCTCTTGTGGCGAGTGGCTGGCTCAGTAAACTGCTCGGTGTGGTGCAACAATCACATCCAGCTGCTGTGAACGGGATCCGACATGTGAAAGCACGACGCACGCGCACATCTTGATGAATCACACAGAAAACTACGAGCCACTGCTGCCTCTGCGCACACATCCAAAGCCCGTCTTTATCTTTTATTGCACCTGGAGCCGTGATCTCCAGACAGCAGGTATATAACATAATACACCGCTAAAGAAAGCAGTGTGAACAGAGAGGATTTCAGAAATTTACCAAATGTTTCATTTAGGTTTTTTTTATTTCATTGGTATGTACTGAAATATACAAAACACTGACACCTGCCAATCCAGCGGCAACAAAGACAGAGAAAGGAAACTGGAACATACTCCCAAACACACCGACGGAGCAAATATAAACTCGCTCCCGTGTGAAATGATCGGACAACATAATGAACGTGGAACTCCTGATATTTTGTTCTGTTTAAAAGCCAGTTTCGCCCACGTTGGTGATGAAACATTTCAGATAGCTGGGTTGAGGTCGAATAGTCGTTTTTTCAAGGAGGGTGTGATAAGTGTTGGTTGAATTCTCTGCTGAGGAAAGGTGACGTTTAGGACACACGCTGACCTTCATTTAAGAAATGTGGGGACACGGCGGCTTCCCATAATTCAAAGCGTTGCATCATTAGATCAAAAATCATCTTATGCCATAACATCCTAATATGTTTATATGTTTTGAATCTTTAAGAATATATTAAAGCTAAAGCTGAGAGGTAAAGCACTTTTTAACGTGAGTTTGAAGCGTTTGTTGAAAATAAAGAATAGACTAAAATTATTAACTGTGTATCATCAGACTGAGCGTTAATGCTTTCACATCTGTTTAGTTTGAAGAACAAATAAAAAGGAGAACAGGTCGAGTAACCGTTCTCAACGTGACAAACGTGTTTTTCACTGTGATGTTTAACTGCGATTTTTTTTAAATATTATTCATCAAATGTGATTTCAGGAGCTGTGTTGTCAGGGGCATTTGGCCCTGGTAGGGTCTCCCAAGGCAAATAGGTTCTTGGTAAGAGCACAGATTTACATTTACCCCTATGAAACAAACATCATGGCTCAGGCCTGAGCCCATGGGGTCTGGCCGTGTACTCGCCGCCCTGTGAGCCTACCGCCCGAAGGAGGCGCCACAGGGTCGATCTCTGGTTGCTGAAACGGCAGACTGACGTGGTAGCAGCAATGATGAGGACGCTGTACCAATCTGCTGTAACGAACAGAAATCTGAGTGTAAAAGTGAAGCTGTTGATTACGTTTCCTACGCTCACCCATGGCCACGAGCTGGGTAAGAATGAGATCGCAGATGGCAGAAATGAGCTTCCTCCAAAGGGAGGCTGTACTCTCCCTGAGATGGGTGAGGAGTTTGGTCATTCAGGAGCTAGTTGGGGTGGTTTGTGCTTCTAACTAAGATGTTTTCTTAGTGCCTACTAGAAGAGGTGTTTTGGGCACACTGGGGGAAATGTATCTCTCCGCTGGCTTTGGCATGTCTCAGCCCTTACAGGAGCTTGCTGGTGACAGAGAGGTCTGGGCTCTCCTTAGACTGCCCCCCACAACCCAAACTCAGAACAGGAGCAGCCAGTGGGCGGATGGATGGAAAGATTTTCTATGTTTATACAGCCAGCATGAAAGCAAAGGGTGAACTTGATCTTAATCAACATTATTCATCATCGAGTGCTAAACAGCCTAGTGTGGACACACCAGGTTCTCTGTGAATTCTCGTGCACACCTTTCCTTCACCTTGTGATGTTTTCTTAGAGAAACAAGAACATAGGACATGACTTTTTGACTATTCGACCGCAACCCCAGAGAACATCAAAGAACACGTCCCAGCACTGGAGCGCTTCAACGGTCACATTCAAGAAAACAGTGAAAGTACAAAAATGTGATGCCGAACCAAAGAGTCCGTTCCTTGTTGTATTGCATTCAACTACACTTCAGGGTTACGGCCTTCACAAAAGATTCACAAAGTCAAAAAAGGAAAACAGTTGAAAGGAAACAGCGAAATGAAATGTAACATATTTGGTCAGGGTTTGTTGGTTTCTCTCTCCGAGAGCAAGCCGATAAAACTTGCACACTACTAGCTGCCATGAACAGATCACACTCTGAACACACGTAGGTTAAAAACACCTGCTGGGATCTGAGACAAAGGAGCTAATACTGCGTGACACCGTTTCTAACTTTGAATATTGACGGGAAATGTAAAAACAGTTTGCGTTCTGTAGCAGTGAATAGTGTTTTCTATTCAGTTGCTATGGAAATTGGTAATATAGTGCAAAAACCTACCACAATTACTAAAATACATTAAAAAACCCAGACAAATCTGCGTGATAGTTCCAGTTTCATGCCACAGGACAGTCTCACAAACAGTTTAGAAATGAGAACAAACTCGTGTGTTTAATTCTCAGGCTGTAAATCCCTTGCGAAAAGTGCCCTTTAATCCCGGCGTAAGCGCTTCACGCGACTCCTCTCTTACATCACGAGCACGGCCTTCATCCAGAACTGTGCGTGTTCATAAACATTGTTCTGCTAGTCCTTAAAAAATGAACCAAGATTGAACAAATTCATGGAATGTTTTCGTATTATTATACACCAAGGAAGAGGGAGCACTCGCCTCCTGTGACAGTGTCTTAATGCGTTTCTGTGACACGCATCTCCGCCTGCTTGTAGCGGTGCTTCACACTACAACCTCTGCTGGGTTTTCCCACTTTTCCAGCCTCTCCACCCGACTGGCTTATCTCTGTTTCGAGAGTTCTGGAGGGAAAACCTGCCACTTTCAAAGCTTCATGAAAACTCTGTGAGATACATGTGGTGTAGCAAGTCTCCCACTCCACTAGGGGTCCTCTTCCATGTCGTCCAGGTTGGGAGCCATGATAAAATGTTTAGGGTAAACAAGACTGTGCTCGTCCGCGTACTCCTCCCAGCGTGCGTCGTCGCTCTCGTGAGTGATATAGCGCTCGCCTCGCCGCGTCTCAAACTCCCTCAGGTCCAACCACGTCTGGTAGTCCTGACCAAAACAGACATGAAACTGTCAGTAAATCTGGCTCATTGTGGAGAAGCGGCTTCACATAAACTGATTCAGAGGTAAATCTGCATTCAGCTCACAGCATTTATACACAGTTTTCACTCCCTTTACTTTTCGGGCTTCCCGGTCCAGGTCTTGGCCACGTAAGCCAAACGCTGTTATTGACACAGTGTACTGATGTGCAGGGACAGCGCTGTTGTGGTTGTTTGACTTCTAGTTCACCACCAGGAAGTTTAATGGTGACATAACCACAAGTGGGCGGAACCTTTAACTCTATTCATGTTTTCCATGCTCTGACTATTAATGTTCACACAACTCATCTGTAGATTATTTTCAATGAAGGGAATTGATGACTTGACAGAATTATGACTCCGAGAATTAGCTCGAATTGCAATTTAAAGAGAGGAAAAAGCAAATGAGTCATACCTGTAACCAGGGATGGCTGAGACACTTGTCCACGCTGTACCTCTTTCTCATTTTGACTTGGAGGAGATTGTTGATCAGATCTGTGGCTGCGGAGGAATTAAGAGTACAAGAAGTGTAAGTGAACAAGATAAGTCAGAGGTGGTTTTGAGTTAAAGGGAACAAGACCTGCAAAAAGATATATCTATCAATATATATATATATTCAGTGTTTTTACCGCATAATATACTATATACAGTGAGTGGGAGGAGGTGCAACTTGGGCAGTTGGGGAGATTTGAAAGTGATTCATTTCAACCACAGACATAAAAAAGCTGACATAAAGTTCAGATGACCCAGACGTGTGGGTGGGGAGGAGCTACATGTGTGAATATCATTTAAGTTACAGGTGCAGCAGGCCGCCAACGGCTCACAGACGAGAAGGTCAGATTAGATCAAACATTTCTGAAAGCAAACAAACAAGTAGCTCTTTGTCTTCATACCCTCTGCAGAGATGTCCTTCCAGGGCGTAGGAGGGTACATGAAGGCCGCATTCTGGATCTGATCATTAATGTCCTCGTCCTCGTTAAACGGGAACGTGCCGCTCAAGCTGACGTACACGATCACTCCCACTGACCACATGTCTAAGGAGCGGTTGTAGCCTTTGCTGCGCAGCACTTCTGGAGCGAGGTAAGCCGGAGTTCCTACCACCGACCGCCGGAAGGACTTCTCCCCAATGATACGGGCAAAGCCAAAATCACACAGCTTCACCTGGAGAAGAAAAGCGGCGTGTTAACGTACACACGCTTGCGGACACACAGCTCCACACATGCAAAACACATAAATATATATGCTCTCACCTGAGGGAAAGGCTCTGCAGAGGCCAGCAGTACATTCTCAGGCTTCAAGTCACAGTGAACAATGTTTTTGAAGTGCAGATGTCTCAAGGCCACAAGGATCTGTTGCAAACACACAAGTCCCATAAGCACAGATTCAGCTAAAAAGATCAAAACACTGTAAAGTCTGTAAACCGTACGCTATGAACAGAGTGCTGTTTGTGTAATGTATGGAGGAGACTCTATGGTGCTGCCATGTGGAAAAATAGTAGCAATATAAACATACTAATGCCCTTAAATACTTGCATCTTTACCAGCACTGCCATATAAGGGACACATGATCTCATCTCATCATCTCATCTATATTCACAAGGCCTATTGTAAGTGAGCGCTGCATGCATGTCTGCCCATGGCCCTGCCCCAAGACCACAGAGGGCCTGGCTCGCCGATCCTGACCCTGGCTTTAGCAGAGGCCCTCCTGGCCACATCTGAGCCGAGCCTGCCGCAGCTAATGGGGTTGTTGTTAATGGCCCCGCTCCCGTTTGGTACCCGAGATCCACGGAGCCTGCTGCTCCTCTAATCAGGCCACAGAGCCACCAGTATACTGAAGGCTGTAATCCACAGCCAGGGAGGAGGCCGTGATGCCATACAGACCAAATCCCGTAAACAATTCCCTCCAATCAGCTCACCACAAGAATAAACAGGCCCCAGAGCTGGAGCACAGACCCATTACACCCCCAAAATAGGGCACAGAGAGAGAAGGGAAGGAAGACACAGCACTAAGAGGACTAAGAGGATGAAACATGCAGCAAAGCTGCTCGATTCTCAGTGACTGTCATTATCTGACTATTTCAGTGTTAGGACAGAATCTTGATTTGAGAACTGAGGGGTGAAGAAGGCTGCGTGAAAGGGCAGAGAGCCGTGTTTCAGCGGTGCAGACCTGCGTCACGAGGAACTTGGTGATTCGTTCAGGCAGTTTGCTCTTCTCGCTCGACAGGATCATCTCCAGCATGTCGCCGTGCAGCTTCTCCATGACGACAAACACCCGCTCAGGCGTCTCAAACATGCACTCCAAGTTAACGATACCCGGGTGATGCAGATTCTACAGAGAAACAGATCAAAGGCTTCAAACGAGGAATACGCTAAGAGTAAATGTAAACCAGTGACAAATGTAATGAGCGGGATTTTCTCTTAACTGTTATCAGTGATTACCTGTAATATGGCGACCTCATTCCGCAGCTGACTCTCCTGCTTGGTAGGAAATCTCATCTTGTCAATAACCTTGATGGCCACATCTCTGCCGCTCTTTCTGTGTTTGCCTGTGTTTGCCAAACAGAAAAAAACATCAATTCACAGCACAGACACTGGATATAAAATGTTCCTTTTAACGAAAGCACAAACATACCTCCATACACAATGCCAAACTGGCCCGATCCCAGCACTTCATCGGAGAATATTTGGTACACCGAGGCAATATCCTACACGGGCGTAATTTACACCGTTAATTTTCCTCTGCTTGTGGAAACATTCAAGTGAACTTTCCATGCTGCAACAGTTACATCATCTTTGGTTTTGGCAGAACTGCTGCCCTTCCAAAATGTTTTTCAGGTATTGCCAAATAGGCAACTTTCACTAAATGCAGAAGTGGAACTGAGACGAAAACTCCATGACCAAAAAATGAGTCTGCAGCTTCCCCATTTCTGCAGCGTAAAAGCTTCCACTGGATGTTTCGGCGACAGGCGCACTAGGATACCGTTTCTGATCTAACCACAGCAACTATTTTAATAGCATATGAATGCATAAATTTGCGAGCTGTGCTGGGAAATTGTGCAACAGCATCTAAGAGAAAAAAGAAGCTCCACTTACCACATTCTCCTGGACCTGGCAGTTGGACACAGATATGCTAATAGACAGCTCTTCTGCAGAGGGAAACACATGATATTTCCACATTCAACAAGTAACACAACATCACTCTGCCAATGCACAAAGCAGACACTAAATTCTTAAGCAACTGTAATCAGAGCTTTCTCAGATACCAGTATTTCTACTTTTCTAAAACCTGCAATCTTATCACAGCTGCACGCAATAACTCACAGCCCCACATAATGAAGCATTTTATTACACAATGAATTGGCTATAAAATTGATCTGGAAAGCTATCTGTGACTGAATGCTGAAAGTATGCAATGCATTTCAAAACTGGGGATTCAGACAGCCGCAGAAACTAATTCTGCATACTAGGCATTGGACAGAAAGCCGGAGATAAAAGCCAGCAGAAAACTTTCTGTGAGGTAATGCTCGACACAAAGATGGAATTTCACTCTTAGACAATGCTTTGATTTTTCAATTAACAGAGACAAACACACACATCACGCTGTCATCTGCAGATTAAACGTTTCATCTACTGATAGTAAAGTGCGGCTTAGTTCATTAGTAAATGAATTCACATCTATGTAGTGAGTTTGAGTTATCTTATCAGGTTGGCTTCTAGCGTCTTTTCTCAGGTTTTCTCATGTCACGCTCGTTATCAGTTAACCTCAAACTGTGCACATTTCTCATTTCTCTCTCTTTTTTCGGCGACTGGGAGATATTATCGCTGCCCTGACCATCAAAAGCTCAGTTTCCATACAGTTATGTCACTTCACTACTTACACTACTGTCATCCCCAAACAGTGACTTCACAGCCCCACTTCCTTTGGCCTACAGACCCTGAGTCAGGGCTTTCCCAGGCTAGCAAAAGTTAACCGAGGACATCAACTTTAAGGTCATCAAAGTAGTTTAAAAATCGCCTACGACGGGGCACAGAGAGCCTTTTTCTTTCTATATGAGCAAACAGTTCTCGTTTGTCACGGCCGCGACAGGTAACAAGCCTGCTTCATGCGCTAACCAAAGACACATGCAAGCTGATTTCATTCCTACAAACACAAGATAAAAAAAACAAACAAGTTTTTCATCCGGAGACATATCAGCAGCATTTTTAGCACAAGAAAGTTCTGATAAATTCTACTTACTGTGATCTTTGCCTTGGCCAGCAGCGCTGGCTACACTGGGCTGAGGCGTGACGGGCATCAGGGCCTGTCTGATGGCCTTCTCCCAGCCTTGAGCCACCTCCATGCCGACTCCAGAGGCGGCCAGAGCAGGGCTGTGGTAGTGACTGCCGTTGTTCTCCCCTACATAGTAGACCATGGTGGCTGTGATGATCTCAAAGCAGTGAGGGTTGCTGCCCTGAGCCAGATTGCTGTAGTCTCTGCACTGCTCTACCTGGAGGATCTCAGACAGAGGGATTTCCTGTGGAAGCAGTGAAGGAGAACTGATAAGAAAAGCAGACGAAACATAAAAGAGCACAATCTGCATTTCTCAATGAAAGCTCAAGCAAGAATCAGAGTCTTCTTTTCTGTCTTTCTTAATGTTTCAGCCAGTAAACAATTTATGCAAGTCCAAGAGCACATGAACTTCTGAAGGAACCAAAACAAACAGATACACTCCCCCTCCACACAGTGCTGCACATATAAAGTGCTGGGATGGAGTGGTGGAGAAATAAAAATCTCTTATAGCCGATGCTGGCTGTAAACTAGAAGAATATGAAAAAATACTTTCTTCAATCAAAAACATATCATGCTACTAAATGAGCAAATCCACAATTAAGCAATGATACACAAAAGGTAAAGACAGAGGAAGTAACACTCACACACACGCCGCACTCAGTCGTCCCCGCTCTAACTTTCTGCCTTCCTCTTCGCTTGACTTGTGAGCACAAACAGAAAGTGGAGCCGCACTACACTTTAAAAGTCCCCCCCTCGCCCGTCTAACTCACTGTCAAATCAAAGGTGGGAGGGAGGGCCGAAATTACAAATACAGACAATTTCCAACCAATGGGGGCTCAAAGAGGCGCACGCCGTCTGCTCTGCGTGGCTCACCACACAGTATCAGATGAAGTGCTTGTGGTTAGCAGGGCCTGGTCACGTGAGCGCGCTCTGCGGCGGCTCAAGCGGTTCCCTGATTACAAGGCAGGGCCAGCAAGAGGCCCCATCTGAGCACGAGGCGCTGGCGCTACCACTAGCCACCAAGACAAAAGACCAAGCAACTACCGTTCCTCCACGGGGTCGTTTGTGAGTGGGCGTGTGTGATACTGTGACAGGGAGAAGCCCCCTCACCCCATGAAAGCTTCTTCAGAGAAAGCCACAAGTACAGGGGTCTCATCTTCAAACGAGGAGCTGTTATGGCTTCCAAATGGTGAAAATGGCTGCCATGCCTGGCGAGCGAGCCACCACGCGACCACCACTAATCAGATTGGAGGTATAAAGAAAAGGGGAGTGGGGAGGACGGCGGCCACACACTGATGAGCAGCAGGCTAGAAACTGGGGAGGAATGAAAGGAAAGAGCTCGAGGCAGACGGCTTTCCGGATACCAGCGGAGCTCATGGAGAAGCAGTGGTTTCGGTAGAAGACCCCCTCCCCCCAAAATACTACAGGAAATAATTTCATGTTATCTGTCCCAGATAAAAATCCTCTGCTCTGAAGCAAGAGGCAAAGACCAAACTTTGGAGCATAAAAAGGAGATTTACAGCAAGCCTTCAATTAGCCTCCTGAAGCTTTTAAACATAGCTGAGTGCCAAGTTGATAATAAAGAACCACATAAAGCTGCCCTGTAAACACACCCGAGGAGTCGGTCCCTGCTGAGGTTTCCTCTCCGAGGATTTAGTGGCCGGGGACGCAGGGTGTGACAGAATAATTGGGAGAGAAGGGGGAAGGAATACAGTTTTTCCAAAACTTGCTTCACAACAAATGCGGACGGAGAAAAAACAAAAAGAAGGCAGGCAGGACAATAAGCAGAGCTGTGAGCGAGACCACCTGTTTGAGACTCGCTCAACCGAAGTGGAAACTCTGCCGCGTCCTACTCAGCGCCCTGTTGCAACATACCTCTGACCACAATTCGAAGAGGTGTTAAAGTCTCAAAACGCACAAAGCGAGAAGAACAATAAGATAATTACACACTCCATCCTACACAGCACACACGACACACATGTGGAAGTCTTTACCTTGCAGCCTGTACTTCCCTCCCCCAGGCCTCACTGTGTAATTACTGTGCTATTAAGCCCCTGTGGCGGCGTAATGACTGACTACGGCGCTGCCACCGAGAGGGAAGTGTCACACATATTCTCCTCAACTCCATTTACACGTTTAAATCTTCACATTTCACTCAAAGCGAACACTGAGGATTAGAAAAAGAATCAAAGCCAGCATTCAACAGCTCGCAGCGTGACTTTTTAGAAATGTTTTCCCTTCCCTAAAATAAGAGCTAATCAAAACTCTTTTGTGTGACAGACGCAGTCTGACATTTTCTTCAAAACCCCATTTAAATGTCCCATCTCTGCTGTTAGTGATACTGAGGATGATGAAACGCAGAAACTCCGAGACTGCGACCCTTTCACTTCAAGCAGCGAAGAGACCAGGCGGCATTGTGAAAAACCACAGGGGGAATTTCAGTGGGACGAAGTGACCACAGGGTAGTTTACAGTTGTGAAGCGGCAGCCTTCAGCTGAGTCACGCGGCTGCCACCGGGTAGATTTTATTTACATATCACTCATAAGCATGACAGACAGCCTTTATACCTGAATATGAAAACAGATCTTTCCTAAATGACACGTTTGAATCATAAGACAGTAGAGCGGGTGAATTCTGTCTAAGCACTGTGGGGATTTTCATGATATAACTCTGCACAGACTGGACGCTGCAGCTTTTCTGATATTCTTATGAATAATAGTTCGTCGCACCAGATCGAGCTGAAGCCGTGGTTTTCCAAGAACACGGCAGAAATAATAGTTTTAATCTTACTTTGTAGAACTTGGCTCCGGTGTCGTTCTGGAAGAGACTCAGGCTTTTGCTGTCCAGCCTCCAGTAATGCCTCTTCCGCTGTTAAATGGAAACCCCGAGTTAGTCCTAGTGGCAAAATATGGACCACCTACCAATATTACGGAAGTTCAAAATTTTATTTCACAAGGAAAATACCTCGTGTGCTGATTTCAGCACATGTGAACAGTTTCCCCAGCATACATTTAGGGCAGAGCCGTTTCAGGCTAAGCTCCTCTGTTGGGCTTTGGGGTTATCAGTCTTACCAGGTTGTCCCTGCTCGTGTAATGAACCATCCAGCCCTCCTTCACCACCGTGGAGCTCCGCCTCTTGGTGTGTTTGATGGACTGGACCACCCGCATCAGAGGGATGTTGGTGCTAGTGGAGGGGCTGCAAACATAAAAGGAGGTTTTTTTTAATTTAGTGATGATTATCACAATTACCGTAACTCAGAGTTATGATTTCATTAACGAAACACTATTCAGAGCACAGCAGGTACTTCCTGAGACATCCCTCATACGAAGTGAAGCGCTTTTTTTATGTTTTACGTAACACTCTAGGAAACATCAGACTCTGCTGCTGCAGCTGGAGAATAAACAGAGGAGTTGGAGCGTTAGACCTAGTAGTTAAAAAATAACCCCAAATTCCCCAGTTTAGATCAGAGTAGCAACCTTGAATGTCTTCCCCTCCTCTTCTTGTTTCTGATCCCTTTTTACTCAATTGTTCGATTACAGTAGAGTAGAACAAAAATACAAAAATGACATCAGAAACCAGGACTGGGTAGTTTGCATGAACTCTGACATTCATCCCACATCAGCTGATAGATTAGCCACCTGATTGGCCAATCCACCCTAGCTCTTCTTTTTAATCCCGTGTCTGACTTGTCTTCTAGGAATAATCCTTGAAGCTCTTTTCTGAACTGAGCGGTGTCTGTTCTATGTAAGGACTGCCTAGAGAACGAAGAAGTTAGTGAGGCTGATTTCTATCCCTTGAAAAAACCCACAAACTATCCTAACGGTCCCCAAACAACAACTTTACTGACATGAACTCAGGTGGCAAAACTGGTCAGCGTACAGGTGAGGTCGCCAGATGTCGTGTTTATGAAGGAAAGAGTTAAGCAGTCGTCCTTGTCCCTGGTGTCACTGGTGCCTCTTAGTCTCCATGGAACATCAAATGTAAACGACTGCAGTTTTGGGCTACAGCTGGCCTGGATTAACCAGTATGTTCATACCTAATAGTCTTGATGGGCTCTTCATCCTTCTCCCTGTCCAGCAACGGCGAGTCCATTTCAAACATCCTCTCATCCGGAGTGGATGGTTCATCTGGATCATCCATCCCTCTGCCACAATCCATGTAATTACTGTCTACCTCCATTGTATCCATGGTAGTGTCTGAGTCCGGCCCAGGGCTCGCTGGCTCTGCACAAGAACTTTTATTAGAATTACAAATATGAGAAATAAACAACTGTCAGTTTGAAAGATGATGTAGAACTTACCTCCATTGAAGTCCACCTCACCTAAACAGTCTCTTGGTACCTTTGAAGCACAGCGCTTATGGCAGTTGAATCTGCAGTCTAGGAAACAAAATGTTATGATAGTTATGGTAAAGCGCTGCTGTTCCACGTCCTCTGTAGCGGAATCTTCATTGGTCAGCCTACCTTTACACTGCATGCCCTGGCGGAAGAGACCTTTGAGCAGACGCTTGCAGTACTGGCAGATAGTAGGACGAGTGTAGGTGTGAATGGCGAACGTGTGTGGCACCTTAACCCGTGTCTTTTCCATCTTATCCATCCAAATAGGCCGGCCGCTCCAGGACGGGATGCGCTTCCCTGCCTCCTGATGGGACCTCTGCTGCTGGGGTTGGATGGGAAAAGGGGAAGACGGGGGGTATTCGGAAGAATTAAAAACCATATGCAGGAAGGAAGCGAAAGAGGAAAGATAAATAAATAAGATAAAAACAGAGGTAGAAGAGCCTCAGAGGGAGTATGTGAGTGACAGACAAAGAGAGTGAGTAATGACATGTGAGTAAAAGACATCAAAGAAAAAAGTGAGTAGTGTCTGCGCTTCTATTGGTCCAAACAGACGATCAGATTTGTCACTCTTGCCACACATTAGAGTTTAGTTGTGATTTTTTGGTGGATAAATGGAGCAGTCTGGAATCTGTCAGGAATGGAGTTTTCTTCACTTTTTGCCAACAAGTGAGCAGATACATAAACTTGGACTTCTATGGACTTTTAATGTCATTAACATAATTACATTTCCTGGTGACCTTTTGGAGAGACAAAGACAAGAGGGGAATATCTCAGTGTGGGCTTATGCAAAAACGGTTTCGTAAGACCTCGCTGAGGATCTCTCCACAGAGCTCTGTGCAGCACAATTCAATTTTCTGCATCAGTGGTATTCTACAACAGGGCCCAGGAGGTTCACTCGTGGAAAAGAGCCACATTTGATAAGTTTAGAAACATTTAACAGTGGAGGCAGAGCCTGTGAGCTGCATGTGGATTGCCTGCCACACATACTTGCTCCGAATATGTCTCTCTTCCTGCTTCTCCCTCATTTGTCTTCATTTTTTCCATTTAAGACAACGCTTCAGTGAGTTCATTTTACATATGGATAAAACAGTAATCCTCACATTTTCCCTTCTGTTCAGAGAATTCGCAGCTACTAAAATTCCTCTACGCTGCTCTTTCTCTATCCGAGCACCTTCATCCAGTCACACTCACAGCAATCTGAGCTTACCTCATCCAGGACAACCACTGCATTTTCAGCAGGTAAAGGTCGGGGGACAGAGAGAGATGGTCCAGGCAGTGAAACATTGGACAGTCGCCTCTTCCTCACACCACTACAGTTATTTGGGATCTTGAAGGCACAGCGCTTGTGGTAGTTTAGCCCACATCCTTAATAAAGCAAAAAAACAGATCACATTAGTTACCGAACTCATGGAAAGATGACATCATCGTAAGAAATGCAGTGAAGAAACGTCTCATTTTGCAAATCAGCCACAAGATGGTCCTGCTGATAAACAGGCTTAGTACGAGAATTTATGGCCAGGAATGTTTCACTGGTGAATAAATCTTCTCTCTTTAAACTTAATTTGCTGTCAGCGGAGAACTTGACACGAAAACACAAGAACATATTTCAAGTATGATTCAACAATGTGAAAAAATGTAAGGAAAGCGAGCGCGACATGAGTCCACTGGGATCTGAATGTCAAGCATTTCAACGGCTACTGTGCCTGCGCCACATTGTTCTTGTTTGCCTCTATATCTCCCTGATACAGTTACAAGGTCAGATATGTGGTGTGTTTTTGGATCTGTGTTTGAGTGCGGATGCAATAAAAAGGAAGGTGCAGATAAAGGCCAAGTTCTTGGGAATTTGGTAGAATTGATCCAAGTGTGAGTGCCACTGTGTGCGCGAGCGTCTAACCTTCACATTTAAGCCCCTGCCGAACGAGACCCCATAGCATCTCGCCACAGTAGTCGCAGAAGGTGGGGGCCTTGTAGGAGTGGACGTAAAGGGCATGGGGTCGGATCTGGAAATCTTCAACTGTGGCTTGAGCTAGAAACAAAAAGCAGAGGTTGTTTGAGTAAAGATAGAAAATAGAAAAGTTCACAAAGAAACTTCTAATCTAAAGAAAATCATTAAAGATGAAGAATAAATATTTTTGAATACATTTTTTTAATGTAAGTAAGTAGGTGCATGTGAGCTTGCACAGGGAAGATCTACTCTACACGCTCCACTTGCTGCACATAAACACGGATGCTATGTCTCACTGCTGCAGTAGAGGGCATCACATCTGCACCACACGAGCGTGATCGAGTGATAGGGCACGCCCATAAGACACCAGAGACATGCATTTTATTCCTGTTTGTTATTAAGAACCGAATATCGAATCAGCAGAGCCGTGAATATGTCTCTCTTTCTGTTTCTCTCTTATTTGTCTTCATCTTTTCCACATTTCTGTGTCAAATGAGACAGTGAGTTTGTCGCAACAAGACTTGGCTAATCACGGCTGTGAATCATCAAAGATGTGAAGATGAGTAAGATAAGGCTCATGCTGCCAAATATCCCTGAGTGTGTGACTGTGCCTCCTCTGTTCCTATGCAGTCACTTATGTGGCAGCAGTGACCAGCGAGGGGACGGTTAATATTTACTCTTGGGTTAAGCAGCAAATGTGCTAACGCCATTTCGTTGTGTTTGCCGATGAAGGCATTTTCAGCTTAAAAAAACAAATGTGAAACGTCCTTTGCTTAAAAGCAGCATCTGATATGAGTAAAGATGGGAGGAAACAAAAAGGCAGTTGGTTAAACGAATCCGATCTCTTAATTTGAGCAAAGAATGCAGGACAGGTCAAATGGGAAAGCAAACATTTTGATGTCATAATCCCTGGAATGGAAAATATTTACAGACATTTGCAGGAATATTAAAGATCTGAGACAATTCGGGGCGGCTGTTGAGAACTACAGCGGCTGGGGGGGTGATGTTGGCAGTTTGGGAAGAAGAGGAGAAAGAGCTCAGCGAGGTCACATGTCGAGAGGCGCGCAGCTTTCTCACACAGACACATGAAAGGCAGCTTTCATGAGCTTTCTGCACACGCGTCTGCAAAACAACTGGCCACTTCTTAGCAGTCACAGTGTTACGTAATGGTTATCGTGCTAATAAGTATCAAACAACTCCAAACATAAACTCGACACGTTGTTTTTCAGAGCGCTTCTCACGAGCGGCGGGGCTCGCATGAATGTGCTATCTGTTCGCTCGGAGGCACCGAGTTTCCATTCGGAGTCAAAAGTTTCCATCTCACAAAAACAAGTTAGTTATATTTATGACAAGCAGAAGGTGTTGTAAAATATCAATTTCACGCGGCCCGTGGCGGTGAATAAGGGGCTTGTGAAAGTGGGTGGGAATTTAGGAGGAGTGAGAAACAGAACAAAGGGACACTCGGTCAGGCCAAACCTCAAACCTCATGGGCCGAGATGGCCTGCGCAGCGTCCGCTGCATAGGGCCGCCCCGCACATCAGAGCGTGTTTACACTCCGCGGGTCTACTACAATCACTTACTGCAGGAAAAACAAGCCTTTTTCTTTGAGCTCGCAGCCAAGAAAAAGCCACTTCTGCCTGCTTCTTGCAGAGAAGGAGATATTCAGACCGTCCTTCTCCCACAGCCGCGCAATCCAAAAACAAGCTCGCCGAGGAAAAACTGAATGGAGACGAGGACGAGAGAGAAACTGCGCGGTGGGAAAAGGTTGTGTTTCACACGCAAAGATCAAGCGTCCGACATGCAAAGCGCCTCTCAAAAAGAAGGTCGCGTTCACAGATTGTGAGATGAAGCATGTGTCCATGTGTAGCAAATCTGAGATCTTCTATAGCCGTTTTCAGCAGGTATGTCTCAGGTTATAAATCGCCTGGCTCCACTGTTGGCGCTAACACCTGCAGACGGATTTGTTCAGGTAGGGGGGGGATTAGAACGAGAGAAAGCGGGGAGGGAATTGCGAGCCACAGAGACTGACACAAAAGAGAGCACAAGACAAACACAGACAGAAACAAAAAGAAGGAAGTTCTCCAGTCTTTAGTCTACATTCCTCAGCCTGAAGTATCCTCAGATCCTGAAACTATACAATCATCCCCTGACTAAATCCCTGCAAACAATACTGTCAGCCCAGGAGAGAGGGGGGAACTCGGCACAGGTGGTGTCAGGTGCTTCCCAGTGGCAGATGGAGCAGCAGCACAGATTGGAGCAGAACAGATATCCTAAGCCATTTGTTGGTCTCAGCACCGCAGAGGAAGCCGGCTCATTCATCGCAGGAAATAACAAAGAAAAACCGAGCACCTGTGTAGTTTTGCAAAGGTGGAAAATTATGGAAAGAAAAAACTCAAACGTCACACAGAAAGCAAGTGTTTGAGAGGACTGTCTGCTTGTATTCGTTCACTAATGACAGAAAATTGCTCAAGACTAATATTTATTTTGGGAGAGCACAGCGGACGCTCACAACAAGCATCTCAGCCCCAACGGGACCCCCGAACAAGACACAAAAGACCGTGTTTATGAAGGTGTGGCAACGACGGCTGGGCCCAAAATTTAAAAAAAATAAGCTGACTCGAATACTTGAAGCGTATTACTTTCAGACAATTGTTTAGACTTTGCAAACACGTGGTTTATACTGCTCGGAGGAGTTTTATATTCATTTTTCTCCTGTTTTGGAAGTCTAGAAGTCTAAAACAGCAGCAACACTGTGCCAGCAAACACACTGCACTGTATCACAGTTTGTATATAAGAAAAGACTGAAAAAACTGGGCAAATTGGAGGAAGTGCGCTGCCAGATTTAGAAGAATTTGGTTTATAGTATAATCCTCTAAATACATGAACAAGTCTGCTGCTGGGTTTATATTAGGGGAGTCACTGCAGGTAAATGGGTCACAACTTCCAACATATACCACAAGTAAAGCAGTTTATCACGTATGCTAAGACAATCATCCGTCCTATTAAAACCACTCAATACGCTGATGTCTAAGCTGCAAACAAGACACGTTTAGATATTTTCCTAAAACAGAAATATGAACACTGGATGAAGCCAAGCTCAAAATTTTTTGTTTCCTTTGTTGAATTTAAGATTTAAAAAATCTCATTTTATCGCTCATAAATAAAAAATGATATCAAAAGGCAGGAAAAATAGTTTCCACCATGTTTTTAGGAACAGAATGTTCAGTGAATCCGTCTCTGAATAAAAGCTCTACAAACCCTTCAAAATCCCGAGAATATAAACAGAAATAACGCTGCGGAGCTTGGATGGATGTGAGATATCTGCCTTGGATAATGAGCCTCTGTATTTAGAGTTATGAGCTGTAAAATTACACACATTTTTTCTTAAAAGCAGTATTTAAGGTAAAAAAAAATGTAAGTAACAGATAGCATCATCGTATTAAGGCTAAATACGATCACTAAATATGCAAATCAGGCACAAGCTCAATAATTATACATTAATTCTGCATAGACAACGAACAGAAGAAGTGCAGTAAAATAATTATGTTTGAGAGCAGAAGTCCAATCATCGAATATCTGTGCTTTTGCATGAAAAAACTGTGTTTGCATAAAGTCATCATCAGTGGCTCAAACTGTAACACTCTTTGTCTGCAGCTGCATTTAATTAAAATCAGTCCACATGTAGCTCTCACCTGAATGTGGCTGTAAGCTAAACTATCTGGATAACTAATCTGAACTGGGAAGTTTTATTTTCTACTCTTCAACAGCGCAGCTCTAGAATGTCTTTTTTTCCTTTACAAATATGCCAACTAACATTTCACTTAATGCTATTTTGACCTCTTAAATTAGAGGATGGAAAATGTGCATACACTGTACAAACACATTTACGGTGAGGTGCGAAATGACATCAGACTGCTTTGCATACCAGAAAGCACCACCTCAATGAGGTCTCCTTCATGGATGTCTTCAGCTGCAGTCAGCCTCTGCAGGATGTTCTCATCGTTTAAGTCGTGGCGGAATAGCAGGATCTTGTCGTACATGCCAAAGAAGCCGCACTCCGGGAACTGGAGAGAAAGGGAGATACAACAAAAAGAAATAAGCAAGTTTAATTGTAGGCATAACGAATACCGGTAAAGTTAAATGTCCCGAGACGCGATGCCCAGTACGTGGACATTTATGGTTATGCTCTGCAGTGGCTCAAATCTAATACAGAGCATTTAAAAAGGTATGGATCAGCCAGCTGTCTTGATTCTTTTTCAAGCACGCACACACTCACATTATGTCAGTTCCAGCAGCTTACATCACCGCTTGTGTGCAGTATTGTGAACCCAGTGGCTCAGGAAGAGAGCCCCTTTCCTCCCTCAGAGTAATCGACACTATATACTTGGAATAATTCAGTACAGACTAATTCAAAACGAGTGGCTTGCATTTAAACCCGTGTGTTCTGCATTGTGCACTTTGAGTTTTCTGAGTCATCTATTAAGACGAATCGATGATGTGTCTGCTTTAGCTGTTGAAGTGTTTCCGCTGGATTTGAGCAGCTTTCTACTATAAGATGAATCACCATTATTCAAGCGTGTCTAAAACGCCCAACAGCAGCTATCACCGCTCACAGCGTGTTGACCAAAACAAACCTTGACAAGCTGGTCGTGAACTGCAGCTGAGTGTGCGACATAAAGTCACATGACCAGGGAAAGGGGCGGGGTAGAGGGTGGGAGAGGTAGACGGGGAGAAGGAGAAGGTAAACATCCTGAGAGGAGTTCAGAAGAATCAGCATACAGGAAGTGCAGCGCCAGTCAATACTGAGTCACTTCCTGTGGTGAGGGCAGCCCATAACCTCTTAGAAAGCCATGTTCTTGTCACAGGGATAGGCCTATAATGAAAATATCCACTGTCCATGCGGCGAAACGGCAGAGTTTGCCCAGTGTTGTCGTGCTGTGGCTCCGCAGCACGTCTGTCGTGTTTAAAAGGAGGAAACGCCATCAAAGGTCAAATCAAAGTGAAACTTACTGAACATCTACTTGGCAAGGATCTCTCCTCTTTGCTCAGACTTTTCAAAGCTCAAAGGAGAAATGCGCTTTGAATACCAGGAACCTGCGCAGCATAACAACACATCTGCACACCTGACACGGCGGAAAAAGTCCAGCGACCCTCAATGAATTTTCAAAGCTGTCCCTACACGGATTGGGAACTGTGACGCTGTAGTTTAACGCCAAGGCAAGAGCCCAGCCTTGATGCCAAGTAGGTTGGTACTGAAGAATCCACCAGCTGTTTCCCCCTGAACCAGGGTCACATTCAATGGGCCACACAGAACAATGCCACTGTGTCCTGGGAGTACCAGGGGTTGGTACAGTGTCTAGGCACAGGACACATAAGACACCTGGTGGCTTATAACTGCCAAGAAACACAGAGAGAGAGAGAGAAAGCGAGACAGATTGATGGCCTGGGGAAATCACGAGTGTATCACATGACTTGTGTCAACTAAGCCAGAAGGATGAAATGCCTAAAGGTAAAAATGTAAATTCTGCAAAGCAACCGATAACCGATGGTGCTTCAGTCAGCAGTGGAATACAGATGCATTGTAATAAAGGAGCTGGACCCCTGCCCCCAACATGCACTCGGAACTCCCGCTGTGGAGGGGAACAGTGTCCCCCAGGGGAAATTATACGGCAATGGTTTTTTCCACTGAAAGGCCCAACAGTGGGGTGCTTACAAAAGCATTCATGCACTTTCAACAGGCTCATTCCAAGAAAAAATTAAATGTCTTCTAATAACAAAAATTTTCAAATATGGTAGTGTGCAAAAGTCTTGAGCCACCCCTGATTCCCTTTCATTTTATTATGACATTGGCTGCTTTTTCTCCCATTTTCAGTCCATTTTCACAGGAACGTTATGGTTTCCTTGTTAAAGCACCACACAATCATTCGAGCATAAAAAGAGCGCCTAAATCAAGAAATGGACTTAGTACACATCATTTGTTCTCATGTCTTCATCTGAATCTATGGAAAATGATAAAGATAACACAACTTAAGTCAAACAAATAGTTTTTGGAGCTATTTGCTGAAAACCTGGAGTATCTCAGGATGGTGTGAAATGTGTCCTTAAAAACATGAAAGGAAACAACAAGTGGAGGACAAAAGATGAAACAGCAGGCAGGCTTAAAAACCTACCTACAGCAGTCAGCAGTATCTGAAGGTCATGTGCTTATGAATAAATAAAAATAAAGCCCAGTAAAGACCAGACACGGGACCTGAGAGATGAGACTTTCATCGGAAACGACTCAGTAGAAGGGGAGGTCAGGAGAGAGCTACAACAGTCAGTTTCTGTAAAGCACGGTGGAGGCGCTGTCATGGTTTCTGGCTGCATTTCATCCCGTGGTGTTGGAGGTGGGCTTATCAGCGTAGAAAAGCACCATTAGATTTTGATCCAGCATGCAGCACCATCTGGAACCTGTCTGATCAAACTGGGAATCATCAGAACAAAAGAAGTTGTAGCATGTGCAGCGACAGCCTGGATGTTCTCTTCCTGTTCTCCAGATGTTCCACTTTTGCACAAAATGCTTGCTGCTCACACGTTAACACTCTCGTTGGCTGACTACCTGTCAGGACAGACGCCTCCCTCCTTATTGCACGCTGGGCTAATTTTCCCCATGACTCCATGAATGACAAATGTATTTCTATTTGTATCCCTACTCCTGCTCAGTCATGACGTAAACCTGTGCACTGACCTCACAACAACAACTACGTGGCAACATAATCCATATATAAAGACTATTTCAGTTATATTCAAACTGCATGAGAAGCTGATTTTGCTCAGAGTGTAAAAACAAGGCACGCGACTGTAGAACGAAACCTTTCCAGCTCGATGCCTCGGCTGACATATCTACATCCTAATCCTGTCACGCTTTCAGGTGATTAATGCTGTATGGCTCAAACCATCAGCACCAAAGGCGGGAGGAGGGGGGCATCCTTCCTGAGCCGGCTGCAGTGTCACGGTAGGGTTTTCCTCCACCCGCCTGACACGCCTGCACTTGGACACACAAACACACGCACACACAAAAGCTGAGGTTGATGCCCATATCTAGCCAGCTTGAGTCACCTCCTCTTGGCTCCTCGTGCAGCACTTTCCACTGTACAGAATGAGTCCCATTCCAGAGCATCTGCATCTGCAGGCAAGAACATAGCAGCTCCAAGGGCAGAGGACATTACTTTTTTCCATGCCCTACTAAAGTAAGAGGAAGCCTATGGTACAAGAACAATAGACTGGCAGGTTTAGGACAACGTTTTAACAGTTTGTTGTTCTGATCGCAGGCGTAGAGGGAAAGCCGAAGGCCGACCTGCGGGTGGATGGACGTATAAAGCACTGCATTTATACATTCTCTCCTTCCCGCATGTAAAAATAAACCATTCACCTCCAGCGTGTGCCTGTGCACATATACGTCCTTACACACCATCACCCACACATGCTGCTGCATACATTTCCGAAGCCCGTAGTGACTAAGCACGTCTTTTGTCATCTTCGAACGAGAGTCCATTCAGCCGAGCAGCCGCGACCACACACGTACACCAAAGACCCCGGCGAGGAGAAGCTGTGTGAGGTCCACAAGTCAGGCTGGAAAGACAAGTGGAAAGGGGCTTTGCAGTAGTAAGCTTTTGTTAAACGAACTAATCCGCCATTGATATGCTAAATCCTGCTGTAAGGAAAGAGGGTAAGAGGCAGGAGATGAAGGAAAGAGCGGGACAGATTTGAAATATGGTCCCATTTTATTAGAAGCCAAAAACAAATTATCTCAAGACGGCCAAGAAAAAATGATCTGACTGGAAAAAGAAAAAAGGTGTAGCTTTGAGGAATATTGATGCTTATTCCTATCAGACACAAAATGATAAATGAGTGAAATGAATCACAAGTCGTAGCTCATGTATTCTGTGCGGCTGCTGTACAATTCCTGCACGAGGGCCTCAGTCACAGAGGACAATGAGTTTGTTGTGAAACAGGATGGCGTGCACCTGATTATGTGGTTAAACATTTGTGTTTCGCTGCATGTGAGGGTGAAGCGGCGCTAAGAGCATCGCGCAGGCTCTGACAGATGGCCGCGTGTTCGCAGTAAGGAAAAGCATGCAGCTTGACCTCGGGCTGCCTAACACCTTTATTGGTGTGGCAGCGGGCCAGACAGACGTGGAGGACAGCGACAGTTAAACGTCCAGCTCATCATCGCAGCGCCGGAGATAAAAGTTGGACGATGGAAACAATGCTGCTTGTGTGCAACACGCAGCACTGCACAAGAATGCAGAACTGCAAACCACGGTTATTTTCATCTAGTTGTCATTTTCTTGATTAATCCTTTGATGCTGTGGTTTATGGAAAGTAAGAAAAGTATGGCTAAAGTTTGACAACGCTGACGTGAAACCGCATATTTGTCTCATCGACGCTGCAAAATGTACGGATACTCAGGAAAACTGTAGAACTGTAAAATACGGAATAGCTGACATTATAATTATTATAGCCAATTTCATTCATTCTCATTCCAGCGTTTCAGGGCACCGACACGAGAAGCTTTCTAAATACTCTTCCTGGCAAAAGGATTATAAAATGCCAAAATTTAAAAAAAGGTCCTGTTACATCTGGCATCCCATGGTCATGTGAATATTTCTGGATACTCTGACTCAAACGATTGTGCCATTTTTCCTTATAACACTGCAAATAACTAAATCAGATATGGCCAGAAGCAGGATAGTTTAGAAAAAGCAAACAGAGCCCAGGTCTTCCAGGTGTCCAGATTCTTTCTGCTTTTCTAAAAGTCAAACTTCACCTCCCTACATGAGATATGAGACTGAAGTCGGTTACTATTATTTAGCATTTCAATCAAATGGTCACCTTAAGAGAAACAAAATGCTAGAGCGCACGGAAAACTTTACATCCAGCTTGGAAACTGTAGATGTTTCCTCTGCAATGTCCTTGAGCAGATATGTACTTAAAGGCCAGGGCAGCGTTCTCCGGTGTAAATGTGTAAACTAATGGATTTTCTTATACTGAACCACAGATATGTAAAAACATTACAGAAGCA